CTGAGGACTCGGGTCTTCTTCGGTGCTCAGATGGAACAGGGCTGCTTGCTCAGCAGCCTGGGAAGGGCGATAAAGGAGCTACAGGTAACATGCTCAGCCATGTAGCACAGCTGTATTGCTACAGAGGTGGGACAAGGCTGCCCTGGTTCTGCCAGAAATCTGACCCAGCCAGAGGAAAGGAGGCAAATCTTTTGGACTGCAGCCCAGTTAACCTGGAGACTCCCGAGCACTCGGGATATGCATAACCAGCAGTTCTTAGAGATCGATCTAAATCAGACTCTCTAGACATGAACTACTCTGACCCACACAGAGGTTATCCGCTCGAGAATGTGTGGAGAGCCCGGACCAAGCTAAAGGCCCAAAAAGGCCGCCAGGAATTTCTCAAGCAGAAGCCCCGTCCTGTCGCAGGCACCAGGAAGCTCCGTCCAGCGCCTTGCTGTCTTTGCGTGTGGAGGTGCCACGGAGCTCTCCTGATGAATGGCCATTGCGGACCCATCCCCTGCGAGGCTTTCCAATCCCTTTGCAAAGCCACTGCACCTTGAGCGCCATCGTGGCACCGGCAGCAGGAAGCCCATGCGTCGATTGTCCTTTGAGAGAAGGGCTTCCTTTTGTCTGTCCTGAATTTCCTGTCAATTAATTTCACAGGAGAATCTGGTATTATCTGATATTCTGCACACCACACCTAATTTATAACATCTGGACTCCCCCATTAGTAATTCCCTCTGCTCCTTTGCCAGAAAGGCATGACTACATTAGCCCTTCCTCACATGCAAGATGTTCCCATCACCTGATACTTTTTTCTTGCTCCTTTCTGCATCTTCCTGAGTTCATCCTATCTGGGGGAGGGGGGTGTGGGAAGCTCACAGGAGGACGTGAGGGCAGAAGAATCCCCGCTGCTCATTCCAGCTGCCTCTGAGCACACGCGTTGGCTCCCACGCTGCTGGTGCATTGGTTGCATGAAAGAGCAGGGGCCTTTTCCCCATGAGTGGCAGAATGGGAGACCCAGCAGCATGGACACTGACGCAGACATGGGGCCACTCCGTGTTGCACGAATGGGGACCAGTGAGCTTGCTCCTGCCCGTGTTTCCTCCTGCCAATGGATGCGGCACCTCACCACTTGGGCAGCTCGCTATGAGGGGCCCGCACCAGCTCCACGTGCCGCCCTGGACAAAAAGGGATGCATCCATAACCTCTTCTGCCGAGACGGAAACGGTTCTCACTTGCCGCCTGCTTTCCTTGGGCAGCTGAAGCACAGCAAGACCCCCCAGGTGGGATGGAAGATAGGAAAAAGAATGAGCCAAAAGTCCTTCGGAGCATGGAAGCCAGAGCCAGAGAAGGCTGTGCAGAGGCGAACCTTTGCTCCGTTTGCTAGCACAGCAGGAGGCTGCCTCTTAACCACACAACCAGGTGCCTCTGCATCTTGAGGCTGGGGGACTGATCTGGACTGTTTTCCAGGTGCTGAAGGGCCAAAACTGGGTGAAAAAGAAAGCAGGATGGGCATGTGAAATGAAGGAGGATGCGCCTCTTGAAACCAGGGTATGTGCTGGAACTATGCAGCTTAGCGGCTCTCTGGGCCTCCGGGGAACACATATTGTGCCATAGCAGATAGTACAAGAAGCGCCGTATGTCCGTAGGAATCCCAGGAGCTGGGGGAAAATCATTCTTTAGGCATTTTTCCTGTGCCTGGTTTTTGTGGTGCGCTGTCCTTTCCATGTAAAAATACCTTTGCTTCACCTGGATTTTAGGACAGTGACTACGCATATGTGTTTGTGTGTGAGAGAAAGAGGTGGGGAGGGGGAGAGAGAGAATAGGATCTGCTTGGTTTTTGTTTTACCCACCTGTGTGTGCTCTGCTCTTGGACCAGGTCCCACCAGAGATGGGTGACGGGAGTGAACTTGGGAACCAGCTAGGAAGCCAGCCCAGCCAAGAGAAAGCACATGAAAAGAAGGTGGCAACAACAGGTTTGGAGCAGCTCTGGAGAGCCACATTCCAGGGGGTGCAGCCGAAGGCAAAGGAGCAGTGGGAAAAGGCACCTGTCACTTTAAGCTCTTGCTGTCGGTAGCCAGTCCTCGGGGAGGGCTTCCAGCCTTTGGCATGGAGCGGCTCGCTGGGAGCAGCGATGCCTGCAGGACGCCAAAGGCCAGGCTGGAAGCCTGGGAGGCACCAGTGGCTCCAAGCCCCAGGCCCCCTGCCCTGCTTTAGAGCCCCTGAAACTTTCCTTGGTGGGCATCTTCCTCACAAGTTGTGGGGAAAGTTACAGAAGCCACATCTCTGGCAGGCGTGCGCAGGGAGCAAGAATGTTTTAGTTCACCTCGCCCATTCTTTTTGCCACTAATTTGATCTATGAGATCTGCTTCTAGTGGAAGGTCACAGCACCCCAGACGTCCACCTTGGGCAGGGCGCCCTGCAGGAAGGAGCCCTGGGACAGAGTCCGCCGGCTGTGGCATCGTGTGTGTTCAGAGGCCCGTCCCTGAACGGGACCACCCAAGCACAGAGCCCCATAAGTGCTGGGGGCAAGTCTGGGATCCTGGTCCGTCTGGGCCTGGATTGAAGTGTTCAGAAGGCTGGGCAGATTTTCTTTCACCAGCGAGTGATCGGATTTTTAAAAATGGAATGTCTATTTCATGCCTTCCTATAAATGTAATAAGGCCCCTACTGCACTTGGTGCTGGCTAGAAATCTGCAGTCTGGTGTTTTCTGTTCCATTAGAACGGAATTAATCTCTGTGTGAGAGACGGAACAAGACAGCTCTGTTGAGATAAATATACAACAAATATATGAGACAAGAGCTTTCCTATAATCATCCAATGGTAGAAGCAGTGCCAGGTCTTAAAACGGTGACTAAATAGATTCCAAAAGATTTCTGTGTGCCAGTCTTTAGTGTCAGGGCAGCCAATCTGAAATGATCCTTCTCTCCCCAAATTTCAGTTTCCTCCAGTTCAGCAAGAAGCTCAGCTCTGGCAGAAGGGAAAACAGATGCTGCCTTTGCATGTGGAAGCACTGAAAAGAGAACGGGCAGAAGGGAAAGGGATCTGGATGAACTGCACCAGGAACACCGACATGAATCAGAAACTCGGAAAAAACACATCCTGCAGGTCCCTGTAGTTCTCATTCTCCATCTCTGATACCTTTCTGAGCTGGTGGTATCTTTGAGGTGGGAATTTCATAATAAACTAACTCACTTACTCCTTTATTCCAAAGCCTCCGCAGGAGGTGGGGGAATCTGTAGGGCTAAAGGGCTGTCACAGGCCCACACAACCGTGAGCAGACCTTGCTTGTGCAACACAACATTTGCGTGTTTGCCATTGGGTGCACTAACCCACATCCACAGAAGAGGACTATGCTTGAAACGGGGCGTGAGCTCCTACGCCCCGCTCCTGGCACTGCTCGATCCTGCCTATGCCCTGCACTCTGGGGGGCAGCCTCGAGAAGCCCCTGCTTTGCCGATCTCACTATCTGCGGGGCGCATCCTCTCCACCTGGAGTCCCAGTGTTCCTGATCTTCCTGGGAAAGCTGCCCTGCATTTGCCACTACAGGGCTGGTAACTAGGCAAGGCTGAGTGGAGCACGGCCACCTCCGTGTCCTTTCGAGTGCCAGCAGTTACGTGGCAGTGCGGTGCATGGGGACCTTCTCTCACTCAGATCAGTATAGAAGCATGCCAAAGAAGTCAGATTATCCCTGGGGCTGAGGTCTTCAGGACCCCGGCGGCCTCTCTTCTCCATGTGGAGCAGGAGGAAACCATCACTAAGAGAGAACGGTCTCTACAGATTCCTTAACATTTCTGAAAGTTCTGTTGCCAAGGCTACCGTGATGCCTTCCAAGGTTACACCTTCCTTCCAGCCTACAGGGTGGCAGCTTGAAAAGAGCTGAGCTGGCCTGCAGAACCACCAGCTTAGCAACCTGCATGCTGAATGCGCAGAGCATTCAAGCCACTTCTGCGCGTCCTTCCCATTGACTGCTTTTGCTCTCTTGCTCCAGTCTCACTCATTTAGTAAAATCCTTCCCGGGTTTCTTTTACAGGTGTTCCAGGCTTATAGGGCACACATGGAAGAGCAGGCGGATGCCCGTGAGCAGAGCTGCCGACAGCTGTTGCGGGACTCCCTCCAGGATGCCCTCTGCCTCTCCACTCAGAACCAGCAACTCCGAGCTCAAAGGCAACTGGGCTGCACTGAGAGAGCGACACAGACTGACTTCCTGGCCCCCAAGCAGAGCCAAAAAGCACCCTGAGCTTGCCCTCACAATTAGAATGGTGGTTTTAAAAATATTCTTGTAAGACATTGGGTTTTGCAGCCATGGTCTTGCTAAGCAGCTGGAGATTGTTCTCGCTGGGCTGCTGGGCACCTGCACTTGGAACAGGCCACTCCACATTCCTTCCTCTGCTTTCACTATCTTAGATTGTCCGCAGGCCCCTGTGTGAAATGCAAAGAAAGAAGCTAGGGGTTAACTCAAAGAACAAGCACTTCCCTGAGTAGGTTCAAGGAGGCAAACGGCATGCATCCCAGGACAGGACAAGAACTCCCCAAACGTTAGCTGCACTCATCCATTGCAGTAAGGTATTAAACTTATTCATTGGAGCTAGCAAAAACAGAAGCAGAGGGACACATAAGGTTGATGCGATCGCTGGTACTGAATGGAACGCTTAAATAAGCATGCGCTTTGGTGCCCAGTTTGAGAGGCGGTGGCGGTTCCAGCTGCAGGTCTCCCAGGATGAGACCAATTTTCTGAATTCTTTCTGTTCAATCTGATTTCTAATCCGGGTTAGGCATGGAAACTGCCGAGGCGGCCATGGCTGAGGGGCTACATCTGGCAACAGATGCTTGACCCCTTGCCGGCGTTTTCACCATGTATTATGGTCTCCTTCCAGGCACCTGGCTGGGATAGGACAATCTATACCAAAACGATACCAGATGTGAGTACAACAACGCACACTTTGTCAGTCAGCGTTCAACCAGGAGAAAGCGCAATCACATACGTTCTAAGCAGAACCTTCTATTATCAGCATTCAATACCAATATTTCATTTATTTGTGACATTTGAAGACTGTCTTATTACAAAGTACTCAAGGCATAAAAAACATAAAACAGACACAATGTTGAACACAACACCTAACAAAACGCAGAGCAACCAAATCAAACCACTGTCGATGGGAGGCCGTGGTTTCCACACATTGCCTTGAAAGGCCCCCATGAGCAGAAAGGCCTAGAACTGCCACAGGGACGTCCCCACACTGCCCTGGGGAGGCAGCCTGGTTGTCAGGAGGGCGTGACTGGTTCCATATTTGCTTCCGGCTAATTTAAGGTGCTGTCATTACGATTTCACAAGAACTGAGGAATAATGCTCCAAACTCATTGAAGAGCAACTTGCCGCCTACAAACACGCAATTCCTCCTTCCCTTTCATGCCACCACTGTCTTGTAAAACCTGGGCCCTTTACACCGTTGGCACTGGCCCTCCCATGTTTCTGCGTCTTTAAGTGTATTTGGGCAGCTGGGAAACTTTTGTGGGGGTCATCATAAAATGGCTGCCATGGAGGCAAAGCGGACCAGCTGCAAAGAGCTTGTGCAAGAAGAGCAGTATGAGGCACAAGCTGAGTCTGAGCACCAATGTATCTGGCTGCATTTAGCAAGCAAAATGCCCACTTCACGCAAGTCTTTTTACCACATGCAGCTTAGTATGTTCCAACATTTTCAATGACCTTTGCAACAAATGAACAAAAAGAAAGGGAGTTAAAAACAAAACTGGAAACAATAATTTCTTATTCCAGCTTAGCCATGTGGTTGGTGCATAGGAGTTGTACCTGAGCATATATGAATCTACATGGAAACCCATCATTGCTTCAGCAAAGCATTTTAATTACGACCCAGGAAAGATGAAACAGCTCCCTGCCACCACCAAAGAACTGCTAGGACAAGTTGCAACAAGAGATACATGTCTCTTTAACGTAATTTTATGGAGAATCCAGATACTGCCTTTACCGTGTAGACCTCCTGCATTTTCCACTTCTTTCTTTTCTCTTACTGCAGAACCTTCATTCAGAAAAGTAATAGCTGCACACCAATGTCGCTGGCAGCACAAGGAGCACTGTCGGAAAGCGCCCCGAGCTGCCTGAGCGTAAGAGGCACCCAGAGCCCCTCATAACCCCTGCAGAAGCAGCAGCTAAAGTGGTGTAGGAAGTCTTGCAGAGCGCGCTGCGGGAGATGAGCAACTGGGCGGCAGCAAGAAATGCAAATGATGCCAGAATCTGACAAAACACTTTAATGGTGAAGGAACAACTCCGCTCACTCTGGATTGCATAGTTTCAATGCTCAGGAACCCAACTCAGGAGAAGACAATTCAAAGCTTCACCTGGAAAAGCAGGCATGTGCATTTAAATGGCTGGGAGCTATTCCTACATAATCCAGCAATCCAATAAATTCAGATTTATTGAGGCAGGGAGGTAAAGCAACAGGGAACAACTCATTGATTCTCTTGGAGGGTTCTGGAAAAATGTCACAAACTGCCATGAAGAGAGTCCTTCAGCAGCAGGCAGCACATGAGCAAAGCATACGTTGCAGAAGGCACTTTGTGATCTGTGACGCTTGCCAGCCAGCTGGGTTAGAAGAGAAGCGCTGTGGGAAGAGATTGGCAAGCAGTTCCTCTGAAGAGAAGGGACAGCAATTAACTTTGCCAATTACCTCTAAGTCAATAGCAGGGAATTTTTAAAAATACTGACAAGCAGAGCTCCCCCCACCCCCCGCACAGGCTCTGAGACATGCACCTTAAGGGAAAGCGCTGCGGATTCCTCCCCCAGGAAGCCTCGGTGCAGCCCTGCCACGAACCGTGGGGTGAGAAAGCAGGAGACTGATGCTGGAGTCCACGGTCTTGCTGGCATTGCAAATTCTACCAAATTCCGCGAGTGGACAAGACAGCAGACTTCAGCCTTGTGGGCAAGAAACAGGCATCCCTAGACCCCCCTCTGCCCAACGTCACCATTCACAATGGTGACAGGCGAACAGGCCCCAACAGAGCCACCTGGTTTCTCATGTGACCTTGATCAGCTACTGATAAAGTCGGCATGAAGATATTCAGGTCTCTGCTGCAGCCCACTCAGAAAAATGGGTTTCTTGCAGCAGAGAGGCCTGAATGTTCCCCGAGGGCGGGCAGGCAGGCCACCTGCCCACCCCACGCCATCTTGACGGGCACCATGCTGGGAAGGCTGCCCAAGGCGTCCCTCGTTCGCAAGCAAACGAAGTGAAGTTCAAGGAGGTGCTGTGTAAGCAGCACTTAATCTGGCAGAGAGTTGCTTCCGTATCACGGAGCTGGGTGAAAGGACAGCGCACAGCAGCTACTTGACTCCGTAATACAGGTAAAGAGCAAAGCAAATCAGCAGCACGGAAAAGAAAAAACAGGGTGTGAGGTGCATACTAAACAGGTGGACAGAGAGCAGTGCATTGACCATCATAGAACTAGAAATCACAAAAAGTCTGGTGATGTTCGTACTGTGTTTCATGACCACAGACATTATCAGCCCATTCAGGGCTTGGCTTACAATAACGAACAGCACACAAAATGAGAAACCCTCCAGAAAGCCTTCAGCAGAGGCTGAGCTGCTGAACAGATGTATCGTCATATTCAGCAAAACCCCGAAGAAGTAAAGGAACATATTCTGCAGGTTGAGAGGAAGCTCCTGGGCCTTCAAGACCCTTTCAGTATAAACAGCCGAAAGGCCCGAGATCAAGCAGTACAGGGAGATCAGCAGCAGGCCGACCGGGGTGATGTGCAGCGGCATGCCGGGGGCAGGGGATCGCGGCACGGCCTGCAGGCCTCCGTGTGCATAAAAGGCCCCTGCAGCCATCAGCAGGAGAAGCGCGAGCCACTTGCGCAGAGACAATCTTTGGTGCAAGAAGCAGCTGAACAGGAGGGCCGTGCTGCCGATCTTTAGGTTGCTCAGCACCTGGTAAGTACTAGGATCCATGAACAGCTGCAGATGGACCACCAAGTTGTTGTTAGCCGCATAAAGCAATGCGGAGAGTGCGAAGGGGGCAGCGTGATACCAGGACACTGAGACTCTTAGTCGCTTCCAGTCCCAGATGAGCAGGAAAACCAAGGAGAGGACTAACTTTGTCAGTTCAGTCAGAACCACTGCAGAGGAGGCGCTGAATGGGATCTGGCCGTTTTCTTTAGTGAGGGTCAAGAGCGGAGCGTGGGAGCCATAGAGAGCAACAGACAGGAGCAGCATCAGCCCCCAGAGGCCCCTCCCAAGCACCATTGCGGCAGCAGGGCTGAGCAGGCTGCCAATAGCACGACTGCTGTGATGTGAGACACGAGGGAAGCATCAGCCTGGCACTTTTCACAGGCGAGGAGAAAATGGAGGTCTCTCTCTTGTAAAAACCCGCATTATCTTCATGGAGAGGCACATGACACATGTTGGGAGTTAGAGCAATGAGATGAGAACAGTCACCGTAAGATTCGGGTGTCAATATAATCATCCATGATTAGGGACAAATGTTACAGCTCAGATGTGAATAACCAAAGCCACTTTTCCTGGGTATGTGACAGGATTCAGCATCTAAAGCAAGCAAACATGATGCTCCAACAGCTGTCCTTTACTCGGTCAGAATGAAGGAACGTGAATGCCCAATCTCGTGTCCAGGCCCCGGCATGGTCAAAGCAGCCGCTATAGCAGTAATGACAGAATGTTGGAGAGTAACTGCTCAGCTCTCCCGCAGAAATCGCTGTAAATACATGTCCATCGAGCAGGAATGCTGAGAGGAGAGCCATTGAAGCCAGGTGTTTACGATCTATGTAGGGTGAAACTGTTCAGAAATTCTAAAATGAGAGCAGAGGTTTCCTGGAGTGCACCGGTGCATGAGGGATTATCTTCTAGTTTGGTCCTTTCCGGAATGTATTGAAATAGTCCTTGACAGTCTTTTCCACATTAGGGACAGCATAGGTCTGAGCAGCATAAACCCCCGTGCAAGTCCCCACCACAAACCCCAGTATTGCTGAAGGTCTGAGCTTGGCTACAACATAGCCAGCAAGGAACCCTTTGAGAAATGGAGATGCCAGCAAAGAACCCTCCTGCAGAAAAACAGCACAAACAAGCAGATGAAACAGCCGTGTAACCACATTGGCTGGGTTCACACAACATGGCAGGCAACTCTGTGTGGTTACCACAGCTCCCTGGGCTGGTTGGTCAGTTTGCTTGCTTGACTAAGGTTTAGCTGACAGTCACATGGTTTCTAAGCTATCGTGGCTTCCATCCTCCCCACTCAGTCCTCCCACTGCTGGAACATATCCCACCAGCCCAGCCACCAAGACTGAAATTCAACCCAAAGGTACATCGCTCCCTGCCCATGTTGCCTGCCTCTTCCTCACTGATTCACATATAAAGACTGGATGGCTCCTGAAATTGCTGCTCTTTCCAGAGGACTCTGCCATAGTTGCATATTAGGGCAGTGGAAACCACAGTCCTAAGTTCAGAAAACATGACAAGTCACGATGGTCTGCAGAAGCCATAGAACAAACCATTGCTTCTTATTATGGTTTCTAGTGACCAGTCTCACTCTAGTGAAATACCAGGACTGTGTTCAGACAACACAACAGACTGACAATAGTAAGCAATCACCATGGCTTGTTCTGTTGTTAAAATCCAGCGATTCTCATGGCTGATTCATTTTCCTTAATATGCCACATTACAATTCGAGGCTGGTATAGTCTATCCCCAAGGGAGGAAATACACACAGTCCTACAAATTCCAGATATTGCACATTAAATAAAAGAACAACTTCCTTGGAGAAATTGTTATGTTGCATTCTAATAAGTATTGGAAGGGATTGGTCAAGCATAGTGAGATGGTTCACTCATCCTGGTAGGCAAAATTACTGAGAATTCAGGCTTAGTATGAATGAGCAAGCAAGCTCCTTGATCGCTCATTTAACTCCTCTCAGCAGGAGGAGTTAATCGAGCTTATGATTCGGCCAGTGTAGCATCCACTCTTTGACTCCGACTTGTTAGCAGAACATGCTAGAATCATAAGACCAGGCTTGTTCTGGATCTGGGAGTCTAGATTGCTAGAAGAGCACCAAACCAGGGATCCTGGTCTTGGCATAATGAGAAACCAACTGAGGACGGGGGTTGTTTCATTTGTGGAACTGCTTCTGCTGGCAGAAAAGACAAGTGGTAAAACAGGTAGCAAGCACCAGCCCTCTTGCTCATTTACGAGAAGGGAGGAGTCCCAGCAGTTCTGCCTTAGAGATGGGCAAGCCAGGACTGCCTTCTGAGAAACAGGCACATTTAAGGCAGAATTCTAGAGATACGGATTAAACAGCTTCTCTTTTACCTGTCCCATGTCAGCTTGCACCTCATTTTCAACTCTCTGTTTCAAGTTTTCCAGCTGATCCTTCAAAAAAGCAAGATCTTTCATCAGCTTTGGCAAAGAGTCCTACACAATGAAAACAAAAAGGCACATTCCAAATTGCAGGCACACGTGCATTTTAGTATTGTGGTTACACAAAGCAAAGCCTGGAGGAGGATGGAAGCAGTACAGCAATTTGAACGCGATGGCTACCAGGCAGGGCCAGTGCTGAGCTGTCGGTCACTGTCAGCAGGAGTGCATCATGTGGCCATCATGTATCATGGTAGGACATGCACACGGTGGGCATGTCATGAGCGGAGCGGCCAGAGCCGGGGGTCAGACTAGATGGCCTGGGAAGCTCCTTCTGACTTGCTCTGTTTCTATGTTCCTGTGATACTGTATTTCTGAGGTTTCTGCTCTTAGTAAACCCCTGGAGTCTTGGCTATAAGGAATGCCATGCGATACTGCTGTGTCAAGCAGAATGCTTCACACTTTTTTAGTCTCTGATTTCTGTCTCAAAGGATTAATGCCAAAGTACTCTATACCTTTGTGAATCACACCGCAATCTTAAGCTGTTCAGGAGTGCAATGGAAATCCCCCTTGTTTAAGCGTTATTATATGGTATCTATGATGACAAATCTATGAAAAGCTGTTGAAGGTGACTTTGTTAACTGTTTACTGTTGTTATAATTTCGTGCTCTGGGTTTTCGACAGAAAAATAAAATGTGACATATGCCTAGCTATTCCAGTTGGGACAAAAATTCTTGTATACTCCTAAAGTTTGGAAATTTGCAATATAGTTCTGAGGAACAAAAGTTTCACAAAGCACATTTTAACTTTTAAATTTCATTTAATCCATTTCTAACCTACTTTACCATGAAACGTACGGATAAGCAGCAATTACAGAAATGAAAACTGTTTAGAAAGCATCTTTAGAAACTATCTTAAAAGCGCCAAAAGAGGACAGGATAGCAAGAGCAGCTAAAGGCCGAGCTAAGAGGAACTCGCCCGTGCGGAGGCTTGCCTGCACGCGCGAAGAGCCGGGAACCGCGGCGCCCCTGCCCGCGCCTCCCGCGGGGTCCGGCTCGCGGCCACGCCGCCTCGTCCGCGATGTCCGAGCGGGGCCACCCCGCCGAGCCCGCCCCCCGGCCGGCCAGGCCGCGCGCAACCCCCACCTTGTCGTCCGCCATCTTCTCCCCGGGAAAGCCGCGCCGCCTCCGCCCGCGCAGGCGCAGGCGCAGCACTCGCGCCCGCCTTGCTCGCGCCGAGGGCTCCCGGTCGCGCGCGCGCCGCTCTCTCGGCGGGGGGGGGGGCAAAGCTGGGAAGGGGGGGGGGGGGGGGGGGGGAGAAGCAACCGGCTTTCACGACGATGACGATGACGATGATTTACATTTCTATACCGCACATAGGCGAAGCTCTCTGGGCGGTTCACAGCGTTCACGTCCCCCAACACGATGCCCGCTCCCCTCCTCGTCCCTCGCCGGGGCACGTGCACGCCAGAAGCCGACCGATCCCGGTGCGGCTCCTCGCCGCCGCCCTGCTGGCCGTCGCGGCTGCTTTGGGGCAGCTCCTGTCCCGGGAAGGGGCATTCCTGCCGAGCTGAGCGGGCAACGGCATGCAGGCGCCCGGCCTTGCTCGGCGGGCAGAGCCCAGGAGCCCGCGCCGGCAGCGCGGCAAGGGAGGGCGAGGGGCCGAGGGCGACGTGAGCGCGGCCGACCCCCCCCCCCGCCCCGGTTGCAGCGTCCGGCCGTGGGCCGCCTCTCTCCGTCGGAAAGAGCGGCTAAAGAGACCCTCCGAAGGAAAAGAGCGACCTTTCAAAAAGCCTTGCAACAGCTAGAGGCTGCAGGTGGCAAGTGCTGCCTTCAGGGGGGAAGTGCAAGAAGTCCTCTTCCGCGTAAGAGAGGCCCATGCTTGCTTGCTTGCTTGCTTGCTTGCTTGCTTATTTAAAACGTTTATGTCCCGTCCTATACATAGAAGTCTCAGGACCGTCCAGCCGCAAAGGCACAGCATCATATCTATACTAAAAACCCGTCTAAAATAAAAATTAGATATTAAAGTACTGGGAAAATAAAACAGTTTTGGCCATGTTAAGATGAAGCCTACTGCTGTACTCTGTAAATCAGCAAACACTAAGAAAGGCTATTCTTTCTTTGAAAGCAATTTTTTTACTAATGCATAAACATATAAAATTAATTTGTTAATCAACAAAAGATATAGCTGTTTGTGCTGGCTGGGGAATGGCGAGAACTATTAAGACATTTTTTCTATCTAAACATGCACAGGCTGGCACACCAAATTTCCTCCAGTTAAGCAAACAGCCAGAATAATTGTGCATATAGAGGAAAATTGGGTTTCAGGAATCTCTCTGCACTGGCCCTGCCGGTGTTCTGCTGCTTGCTGCCCTGGCAAGTCCCTTACAGCATTCCCTGTGCTATGTGTGAGTGTGGGTGAATTGTCAGTCACTTTCAACACAGTTTAATAATGTTGTGTCCGCCCCCCCCCCGGCCCGCTTTACCCAAACCAAGCGATCATTTGGGTCCTCCTAAAATCGAGGAGAAGGACCCTGCGGGGGGAGTGCGTCTCCTGAAACAGCGGGAGAACCCTTACACTGCCCGGAGCACCACGTGCAGCCATCCCCAAGGGGCGCCCTCCAGGCGCTGGCGGCTGCAGCCGCCGTCCGCGCTGCCCCCGAGAGCCGCGCGGCGGGCACAGCAGGAGCCCCCGCCGAGCCCCGCAGCCGCCGGGAGGCCGGGCCCCCGAGAAGGCCCCGCCCCGCGTCCTGACGCCGCCCGCCCCGGCCCCGGCCGGCAGAGCGCAGTCGCCGCCGCCTCCTCCGCTGCGCCCGGCCGCGGCTGCTCGCCCGCCCAGCGCGGCCATGCTGGGCAAGGACTACATGCTGGCCATCATCCTGGTCAACTGCGACGGTGAGCGGC